TAGCAAACTACTAATGGAAAAACTATACATTTAAAAGACAGTCAATGTTTGCCACTGAATCGCCATCTCGTTTTCTAAAGGGTTCATTTTCCGGTATCCAAGGTTCAGATTCGTGAAGAGCTCAACGTTTTTGGTTAGCAAACAAATGTTATTGTATAACGGTCCCAACAATGAAGAATAGACTCAAACGAGTGGTGACGACGACTTTGAAAACAAAGTAGTTTTGAGACTTCTTATTTGCACATTCGTAATCAGTACCCTTAAATCTACAATTACATCTGACTTTGACTCGTGATAAAACAAATTTTGTTTTCGATGATACCTGTGGGGTACCCCAGGAAAAAAATCGTCAACGTCGATTTTTGGGAAACAAAGTTGAAAAAGTGATCAAGAACGATCCCTGGTTAATAGCTGATAGAAATAATTCAAATATGAGGGGGCCGCAAAATGGCCTAATCTGCCCTCCTCCTTTCCTAATATTCTTAGAAGTATTACAAATCTAAAACAATATAAGCTTTTGCTTTTTTCCGCTTTTTCTGTTTTTCTTTTCGCTATTTTCCGCTTTTTAAGGTCAGCTTTTCATTTTTAAACCTCATCAGGTGACATCCCTGTGTGACATTCTTACCATCTGCTGGCAACTAATAAGATGAAATGATCGATTCGATTAGCACAATGAACAATACAAATAGTTTTAGGTTGATAGAAGAATATCTATCGAAAACTCTTATAGAATGTATTATATAACATAGTTCTGAATAATAACATACTTAAAATGAAAACCATGATACTTATATGAGAAGTTATTCATAGTTCAAGATAGTTGATTGCACTTCTCTTGTAATTCACTTGTACTCCCCTGTACTTCTCCTGTACTTCACTCGTACTTCCCTGTACTTCACTTGTACTCCCATTGTACTTCCAAAAACTTTTTGAAGTAGATGAAGTCATTCTTTTCCCCCCTTGATCGGCATTCATTTTGTTCATCTCTATTAGTAATATAAATGTGCTTATTTTCGGGAATTATAGATAAATTTCTTAAGCCCCCCCCTCCGAAAAGCCGATTTTTCGAAAAAAAACGAAATCGAATTTTTTATCATAGAAAGATTCCCCGTGATTTCCTCTTTCAGAATATATATAATTTTTTGAAAAAAGGTCAAGTTTTGACAGACTTATTGAAGAAATACTCTTTCATCTCCCTTACTCCCACACACCTTTCTAAAAATTCCTAAATGTTGGCCTGAAAACATAGATCTCTAGTAGAAAAATTGCTATAACTTTCGTTTGGCTTTAGCTTTCCCTGATATTTTAATTTTATTTTAAAGGCTTCAATTATAGCTAACTTTTTGTCAGACAGATTTTCGATATTGGATTCATGGACTGAGAAAAGTCCGATTTAGTGCGTTTTTTATACCTACTTTGGCAGGCATATCGAGTAAAATACTTATAAAAATATGAACAGAAGGGAATTTCAAAATTCTGTGTGATGAAAACTTGCGTATAGAGACTAGCTTTAATTTAAAGCCGACCCGACCTCGATAGCTCTCATAGCCATGAAGTTATAGCAATTCTCGTGGAAGCTATAAAACAAGTCATAAGTCTAGTTTAGTAAGGTATGCAAGGCTGAAACTTTTACCTTAAACGTTTCTCACTAGGCCCATTCATTCGTGATAGTTTCAGCCCAAACCTATACTCCAGAGTGGCAAGTCGATCCTGAGAGGGGTGGGGGGCGGGCTTAAGAAGTAGACACTAAAGAAATATGCACATTTTAAAAAAGTGATTCCGTTACAAAGCTTTTCCTACTATTCAAAGGCATACTTTTATATATTTTAAATTTTCTTTTTTTCTACAGATAGAATGTCATCTCTACTATAACTTTCCTATTGAAAGGTTTTTCTTCGCAGTTTTAGTTGAGCTAAATCTTCCAGTTCTTCACATGGGACTCAATCTGGAAGACCAGTTTTTGGTGATTCCGTAACGGACCTATATTTTAATCATAAAATTTCCACGGAAGTTTCGAATCCTGTGAAGCCTTCAGGGCATGTAGAGTAATGAAACTTGAACATATTCTGAAAAATTCAATTTCATTCAATTTAATTAAGTTGAGATATTCAAAATACAAAATGAAAAAACGTGATTCAGTCACGCTTGGGCAGATCGATCATCAACTTAGGGTGTTATTTGATCGTCAATATTTATTTCATGCTATCAACAATTATCTTAAAAATAAATAACATTATTTCGATGTTAAATCAAATGAAAATATGAAAAATCGAGTAATGAGTTATGTAACGATGTGATTTATCAAGCTCTTCCAAAAAAAGTAAGGCCATTTGTAATAAATTGCTTTATCGTGAATAGTTCATTCGGTATCACAGTAATTCATAATCACATATTACTTGTAATGACAGTCGTGCAGTTCAAAATTGATTACGTTCAAAACAGCGTATGTATTAATAGCTATTTTCATTAAGGTTTATTTTCACACACTTCTAAGTTTTTATTTTTCTATTATGGAAGTATTCTGATCACATAGGAATATAAATTGTAAATAGGCTGTAATGTAATAAATCAGTCTTTCCGATGGTTACTCAAGAGAATAGTATCGGATGCTGATTAGTACACTTGATGTGATTTCTTTGTAGATTTTGATTATATTTATTTTTGAAGAACATCGTTTTGAACTTCCTCACATAATTTAAGGTTGAATAATCACTAGATAAATTATATTTTTATTGCAATTTTTTATAGAGAACATACTAACACAATGAGATATACAACGGTCTAAATCTGTTACAATGAAAAATGTTAGTAACATTTTATGATCAATCAATGAGTACAAATTCTATCATTAATCAATATTCAATAGAATATGATAGATTATGTGAAAAATATATTGTTTCTATTGAATAGCAAATCTTGATGTTGAGCTTTACAAAAGTCATTGTCGACGAATGCATTTCTCATGGGATGTTTGTCTATGACGATATAGATTACGATCAAATATCAGTGTATAAATGAAGTTTATATTTTTGTAATCATTACTGAAAGAACATCCTTGTTCTTTATCGCTCAATCAGATTATATATGTTTGCCGTCGTTTCAAAGGACACGTTCTATTTGATTTTATAGCTTTTCCTCGATAGTTTTCTTATACTTTTTCATTGTAATTGCGTATTAGGAATTCCATTCAACATACAATTTGATCATCTCGAAATATTTTTAATCATTAATGTCAATTGAGCTTGACAAAATTTCTAGAACTAAAAAATATCAATTTTTGTCTGAAGATATAGAGAAGAAGAAAAAGATTTTTCGATAATATTTGCTAACGACAAGCATAAACGCGCTAATTATGTTCAAACTACATAATTATTAATGAAAAATACATTGATTTGTTTTCTTTATTCATCTACTTTCAAGATTATTGATGAAGGATTCCTTCAGGCTAACTGAATCAAGTAAAAATAAGAGTAAGAGATTGAGAATATTAATATTAGATTTGGAGAGAAAAAATCGATAGAGGATCTTTTGATTTTATTCAAACAATCAATATAGATCTTGATTGATTTACATTTTTTAAATCCTATGCTTCTTTTGCAAAAAAAACATTTCTAATAGATTAGAATGTAAATATCCATCTAGCTATAGTCGAAACAATCTGTTCATCGAAATAAATTGAATTTTCTTAATTTGTTTTTTGTATTTTATCTGAAGATAACGTGTCACGCAATGATTCTTATAAAGAAAATGCACAATAAAGATAGTTAATCAATGTCCCTATGAGCTAAACTATGAAGAACAAATGGGCACGCACTTTTGACACCTGAACTGGTTTAACACGTTAGGACTATTCAAGATTTTCTATACTAACATCTTTCTTTTTATGTATTGGTCATATTTTCAAGAGTATATATATAGCAGTATTTGTTACGTGCATATCCTTACGCCTACAAATGTGATCAGCTGCAGTCGATGCAACGATCTTTCGTTCGTGCTATTCCCGATTATAGAGTAGAAATTCATTTGATTATATACATGAAGACTCCATAAGACAATAATATGTAGTGCAACGATGTTTTGATTTTTTTTCTGAAAGAAAAATGATGATGATTATCGTTAGTTGCAAGATGCTAATCTGATAACAACGATAAATGAGCCAATTTTTTTTTGTTACACTCTATTTTATTAGGTTTTCTGCTTTCGCCGTTTCCATTGTCAAAAAATACGAAACGATGAATACACAAGTATAAAGAGCATGTTTGCTTTTTTTCTTCATGGAAACATCAATACAATTTGTGAGGGCTCTGCTGTGTTCAAATAAGAGGAAAAGAAGAAATTATAGGATGCTTTGTTTCTTATCTCTTTTAGGGTGGACCTTTTACGATTTCTCATTCATTTATGTATACAATTACATAAGTAATTCTATTGTGCTTTGTCTGCGATGTTCCAATGTGCAAAAAAAAAGTCGAAGGAAGAAAAGATGAGCAAGAAGTGAGAGAGCAACATTGAACTGTGTTTTCAATTTAGACATGAGATAAAAAAAAGAACAGCAAATGAGAGATGAGAATCAAGTAGAATCAAAAATTCTTGGAAAACGAGTGAACGAATGCACTGATACAAAATAAAAGAAAAGTGTTAGGAGAAAAGAGAGCGCATCGAGAGAGTGGGAGGAAGAGAGGCAGAAAACAAATGACAAAATGAAAAAAAAAAGGTCCACATTATACACTGATAGTATGTATAGTTAGCAAGATATGAATATATTTAAAGTAAGAAGAAAGCTTAACTTAGTATTATTTTTATGTGACACATAAAAGTAACTAAACTGATCGAATCGGTATTTTATTTTTTTATATCACGATTGAGAAAGTCCATTACATAGGTCAACCATGTTTTCTCATCTATAGAGAAACACGGTGAATTAGAATAAAAAGATCTATTTAAATTGATATAAATTATTTTAGATTTGCAACCAGAAAATTTGTGTTTCTTTAAAACCAAACATGAAATCATTATTATCAATATTAGTTATCTTTATATTTACCATTCGTAAGTTTCTCAATAAAACTAGAATATTATTTTTTTTAATTTAGTTCAATGAATTCTACATTTATTTTGTCATAGTTTGTTAACTATTCTTTTCAATTCTTGTGTTTTCATTTCATCTATTTGTTATATTTATTTAATAGTTATGGTTCATTATTCATCGGCAAATATTGTTGACACACAAAAGCGTTACTATGACATATGGGATTCCAAAGACGACGTACGCAGTGATGGATATGAAGGATCTATCAAAGTTTTCCCTCTTTCACAAAAAGGTCACAAAAAAGATGATCCATGCGCAAATAAGCCATTATGGTATTTAAAATATCAAGCACGTCTTGGCAAATTATCACCATTCTATGATTGCCTTAGTGGACATGGCATATAAACAAAATATACTGAAATTACGAACTCTCGATATTCAATTTTAACTGCGAAAAGACAAGGTGTATTTTTTTTCTTTTAAAAATCTTTTTTCAAACAAAAAAAAAGAAACACAGATGACAGCATACTTGTTTTTAAAATAAAAATTTCTGAAGCAAGAAAATAAAAAATAGACATGCATATTAATATATAACTATATGCATATGTTTGTTTTTGTTATACCCCTGGAAATAAAAAATAAAATAAAATACATCACAACTATCGAAATACATTTAGAAATATGTGGATCACTATAATCACCCATTAATAAAATTATCATATCACAGAGAAAATAGATGAGTATAAAACTAACTCGCTACACGCATGTCAAGTAACTGTTCACGTATATGCATATTGTCCGCATTAGTTGCTTGCCAAATAGTTTCAAGATCAATTTCGAGATGCCTATGTCAGGAAAAAACGAGTTCATTAAATTAATTATATATAGATATAGATATGATATTTTACCGTTTTTCTGCATTGAGGTCATCAACAAGTACTTGTTTTTCGTTCAATAATGTAACCAATTCTTGAATACGTTGTTCATGTTCGAGACAACGTAGTTTTAAATTGTCATGCTGTTTCTTTATTCTAATTGATAGAAAAATGTAAAACGTAGCTTTTAATGTCATATTAAATATTTATTTATTTATTTATTACTGTTCTTGAGCTTCATGAGCACGTTCTTTATTTTTACTTTTATAAGTCTCAAGACGTTCTTCAAGTTCCGCTAATTTATCTGCATCATGAATTAATCGTACTTGTGTTTTACTCATTTCTTCTTCTTTTGTTTTAGCCTTACAAAGATAATAATAAAAATATTTATGATAGTTAAAGGCATAGTAAAACAAAAAAAAAGAATTTTCTTTATAATTACCAATGCTAAATAAGTATCTCTTTCAAGTTTTGTTTGTTCTAATTCGTCAGTAGATTTTTCCAGCATTGTTACTACTTTGTGCTCTTTAAGTTGTTGTAATTCTAGTTTTTTCTCATAAGTTTGCACACGTAATTGTAATTTATGATTTGATTTTTTAATTGCTTTGATTTCACCTTTTAAACGTTCAATTTCACTTCGATTTTCAGTTAATTTCAGCTGTGAGATTTTTTTGGCCGATTCAGCATCCTATTTATAGATTTAAAAATATAATGTCAACTATTTTCATCAACATAAATTTGATCAAACGCTCCGGTACGCTCCATAGTATAAATGTTTTACAAAAGAGACAAATTTAGATAAAATGTACTCCTTGAAACGACTACAAATGGTTTCATTTAGTGCATTCATTACAATAGTCTTTTTTGTGTACGAATATCTTTGGCATTTAATATTAATTATTTGTTGATATTTTAGTCGTCAAAAGTGATACGATCAAATAATTATGATTCATGTAATCTGTTATTTGAAATAAAAGAATTCTACTGAGCAAATATCGTCTATAAATTAATTTTATTCTTTTGATAAAAAAAAATTATCTTTTTCATGTCTAGAATCATGAAGATAAAACATAGATCTAACATAAAGAAGATAATATCTGAAATACTTATTAACATATACGTAACAGTATCAAATCTTTCACTAGAATGATTTATGAGTTAAGTGAAAACCGTAATGCATTTTACAAGGTTTCAAGTCACGCAGAAATTATTTTTTAATTTTAATGTTTGTTTTTGAGCAGACACATAGCAGGGCCATTCTGACAAAGGCATGGACTAAAAATAATTTTTCCGAGTCACAACATGTTTATGTAGTATATCTCTATAATTCATATGAAAATCTTTCATTTTAATACTAGAAGAATTACATGAAAGTCTTTCAAATATTGAATTTAGTATAAACCAATGCCTATACGTTTACAACATACGTATTAATTCCATCAATTTTGCCTATGTTTAACATTCTAACTTAATCGATATTCACATCAAAGATCAATTTTGCTGTTAAATATGGTGAGCATTTTTTGATTGAAATGTTCTCTAGCTAAATAAACTAGACGTATGAGCTAATAGCAATTTTAACGGATGCTTATTACTCAGTTTATTCTCCATTAAAGATTATTTTTGCAAGAAGATTTATGAAACAAATAAAATACCTGCACTCTACGAAGCACTAATTCCATTTCATGAGCATGTTTTTCACTTAATTCATCTATAAAAATAAATGTAGTGTTGAAAGAAGCGAAACCAAAAACAAAACGTCATAAAATATAACCTGTTAATCGTTTCATTTCACTTATTTCATGAACATGTTCTTGAACATGTATTCGATGATTACTATCCATCACTAAATGATCATTTTTTCTTTTTAAATCTTCATTTCTCATTCGAATGGTTTCAAGTATACGATCATTTTCAGTTTTTTCATTTTCAACAATCATTAAACGTCGAGTTAAATGCGATACTAAAATAAGAAATTCAATTTCTATTTAACTATTATTATGGGAAAAACATATTTACCCTCTTGAATTTGAACTTTTTGTACATCAGTTAATCGACTTGTTTGTAAATTAAGTTGTTCTTGAAGAACTTTATTTTCTTCCAAGACGAGATAAGCTTGCCGTTTAATATGTTCGCTAGAAAATGAATATTGAAAAATTTTATTGAATAAAACAATTTATTTACATATCAGACAAATGAGCATCATGACTTCTTGATGTTGTCGACCGAGAAAGTCGTTCATGTAATAGAATATTTTCATTAGTTATCATTTTAACTTGATCATGTAATTCATTAAGTTCAGCCTATAAAATAGTATTTTAATTTCATTTTGTTTAGCGAATTGATTAGCTATTACTTGAAGTTTTTTAATGAATTCTTTGTTTTCATGTAATTTTTCATCATAACAAACAAATAGTGGCGCAAGAAATTTTTGATTCAGCTATAAATAAAATTAGATTTTCATTTTAGAAAAGAACATCAAACATCAAACTCGTACCAGCCAAATAGGCGATGGACCTTTCGATGGTAAACCTTGCGTTTTACGTTGATCTTTCTAATAATAGGTGCAAAAAAACACAAGAACATTTTAGAATAATATACATTCGTAGATTCTTAAGCATTTAAGCTAAGGGGTAAACTTGAAGACACAGTGCTTATATACGACTACTGAAGCTCCATGCATACGCTATCGAAAAGATGATGCGACAGAAAAAAAGTTTTTTAGTTATTTATTCGGAATCATCCTATGAATGAAAGCACTGATGGATATGCTTAATAAAATAACGAATTAAACATGACGATTACAATATCAACAATTACGAATTGTGTAAAATTGTAGAATATGTGAGACTCAAGTTGTAGTTTATATCCGATATACATGTAACGTCTAGCGTATGATTTTGAAAAGAATCCATTATAATTTAAAAGCAAATTACAAGCATATTCTTCACTATGATATTACTGATATACAATTAATATGATGAAGTCTATGTGTGTAGTTTATTTTGATTCCAGTGAATTTTCTATAAAATAATATGAGGTTTAGTGTTAAATTGTTCAGACATATTTTAAATGTTTGTTTTTATTTCTCGGTGAGAAGAAAAAACAAACAAACTCTAAAGAAAACAATGATATCCTTGTAGCGTGGTAAAAGAAAACACTTCGATATATTTTTATTATTAAATACGCTGCAAAATCTACGCTCTTGTTCTCCCTATACACTGGCGTGTAGACTGATCGACTCAGTAACAATGATTAAGGTTTACTTATCTTATCGCAATATCGTTTCTGCGTGGATCTCAAACAAAAACGATCCTCAATTTGTATCTCAAACTATTTAGGTCTTACCTAAGACCAGGCATCTGTATTCACTCCTAAATGAACTAGCGGTTCCTCATAAAAAAATGTCCTATCTGCGAGTTTTATGATAAAAAAACTCATTATTTCAGGTATTCAATCAGATTATGAAATTTACATTCTACTAAATATGTAATGTCTATTGAATACAAGGTCGATCCTTGTAGTTTTCATTTATGACTGTAGATTTTTCTTTTAAATGTTGTAAATCGCTGTGCACTACACATATTTTAGATTTGTGTTGTATCCTAGGATATTGCAAAAAACAGACGAAATTGCATACATTCATTTCTTTTTTTAATGTTTTCGGTGGATGCATTGCTTGATATTCACTTGACGCAGCATTTAATCGATGAACATAATCTTCAAGAAAATGAGTTTTTCTTTTGAGTTCTTGTATATTAGATTGATTTTGACCTTGAAAGAACCCAAAGAAAAAACATTACACATTTTGATCTCAGTTCTCTAACTATTAACAAACTTTGCTCATATTTATCTTTCATAAGCATCAAATCATTTTGTAATTGATCGCATCGATTCTGTAGTGTTGTAGTCAAATTTTCTAAATCTTTTGTTTGATCTTAACAGAAAAAAAATCCCTAATAGAAAAAAAAATCATGCTAATTAATTTACCACGTCCAGATTGTCTTAATAGATCTCTTAATTCTGGTTGTGAAATTTTTTGAGATGTTTGCAATCGATCCAGTAATTCGTCTTGTTGTTTTTGAAGATTCTATATTTGCTGAAAACTATTTACAACGAAGAGACAAACAAACGAATCTATTTACTCGATTATTCAATCGAAGTTGTTGAACTTCATCATTCAATAATAAATTACGTTTTTCAAGTTCATGCAAATTTTGTTGACATTCTTCTGGCGGTGGTATAACTATGGATTGTATCAAAATGAAAAATGAATTGAATTTCAAGAAAAAAAAAGATAAATACTGATATCATTCAATGCAGAATTTCGATTATAAGCGAGAACAGTCGTTGTTTGTGGAGATTTTGATGATGGTGAAAATTCATTTTCAGCAGCAATAGGCTCTTTAAATGATACAGATCGAGCACTTGCTGGTAGACTTGCATCATTAAGAGATGAACGTGGAATTGTTGTTGCTGATTTTGATTCATCATCAATACCCTTTTAAGTAGAACAGGATATGTCATAAAGCATTTTGAATATTATTTATATTATAAACATACTTCAGCTCCAGTCCCCGACCTAGTTGATGTTGGACCTGCTTGACTTGGAACAGGATTAAATACTGGTGAAGAATTTTTTTGATGCGTTATTGAAACTGATGTTCGTTTAACATTCTTTTCCTATTATTTGAAAATAGTTTGTAAGATTTTAATTGAGTTTAACATTAAACATACATCTATCGAACGTGACAACTCAGCAGTAAGTGCTTGTTTAGGATCTAGATAAGCTACTGAATTATTCTCAGTACTAGTTTCTGTTGAGATCGATTCTATTGATTTAGATTAGAAAAAATAGAAATTATGCATTCTTTCCGAGAGAAAATTACCGTTATGATTAACCTTATAGCCAAAGAGTCGCTTTTCAGCATCAGATAATGAAGTTGATCGAGGTGTATTCTAGAAATGAAAAAGAAATCGCTGATTATAACTAAACTATCTGAACCATCACTACTTCTACATACACTCTTTGCAGCAGAAATTTGTGTGAGTTCTCGACGTTTTGGTTGTTGATCTCGTGCATCATCACTGTACAGATAAAATTTTCTTTAAAATCAAGACAATCAATAAGATATTAATACCTTTCTTCTTCGTCGGTTGTTGTATCGATTCGCCCCTGTACTCTTCCTTGAATAGAACTTATATATTGAAGTTCTTCTTGTGAAGTCATCATAGTTGACGATGGAACAAGTAGTTGACTGGTCGAAGATGCACGAAGAAGAGTTGAAGCTAGTGGACCCCATTCTTCACTACCACGAACTTTTTGACGAGGAAAATGATATGCAGCAGATGGTACAGCGATAATTCCGACAGACGGAATAATTGCCGAAGCAATATGACTGTATAGTTTCTGAAAAAAAAAGAATTTTCGAGACAAATGTAATTTAGCATTAATTTTCAAGAGCTTATGACTTACAGGTTTTGTATTTTTTCCGCCTCTTTTTTTCATATTTTATTTGAAGTGATTTAAAAAAAGAAAGAGAAGGAAAGGAAAAAATATTTTCTTTCTCTTTTATTAATGAAATAAAAACAACTTAAACGCCAGAAACCATTGATTTACTTTGACATTTCCACCATGTTCTGGATTGTTGCTAATGGAAATCATGATGGTGATGACAGATTTCTAATCAGCATTATTTTACTATTTATTTTTTCAATAAGCTATCAATAAAAGAATCTAATCAGGTTCATAAAAAGATTATTATGTTAGAAACTAGACAAATTACAGATGTCACTCGCCATCATTTGTGGAATTTAATACTAGTGCAAGAGTAAGACACCTCGATTAGTCAAGAGAAAAAGAGTAAAGGTGATGTATTCAAAATTCAATTGAAAATTTGAATGAAACCAATGATTTTTATCACTAATATTTTTTAATATTCACTTTTCATAACTGTAACATGTTTGCATATAGGATAATTTAGTTATGTTTGTAGGGTATTTTTGTTTCGTTCTATATTCAATAGGCTAATTGATTTCTAAGGAAATAACTCGCATGACTGAACAACATATCAGCTCGTAATATTAAAAATCTGTCTTGCTGAGAGAAGAAGAATGATTTATAGATATGAATCAAAATTGGAAGCATTATATTGAATTTCTTTTGTGTGAGGTTCCAACAGAAACCTAAGAAAAAAATGCTCGAAGCATCTTGGAGTGCGATGCTCATCTGCACCTGTTAGATTTCATTGCACACACTACGAAGATTAACATCATTTTTACTTCTGAATTTTAGAAGATTTTATTCAATCATTGGAGTGAGAACAAATTTTATAATGGTGTACTTTGCGTATACTTTGTGTAACAAAAGGAATCAATGAAAAATCTTTTCAAACGATATTTCGTTTCAGTCATATATTATATAAATACAAACTTGTAAATTGATTTTAGTCAGTAGAAACTAACTTTTCCCCCAATCACAACAGTTTGATTCTGTACATTAGCCTTCAACAATAGAACTACCTCTGTAAATAATGATATTGTAATAAAGATTATCAAATGTTATCGCACTTTCCTATGTTTTTTGACTAAGCATTTCAAACAAAATATCAGTAAAAATGTTTCATGTAAAGATAAATATGTTCACATAATAATTCAATTGAACGAATGATATTCTAAAATAAAAAATAAAGTATACACTTTATTTGTTAGTTATTCAAGTCGTTATCTTATTTTCGATTATTCTTAGATTAAATATATTTTCTACATAATATCATGATTTCAATTGAAAGTCAAATTTTCTTGAATCGATGACTTTTTCGTTTCAAAGAGAAATATTTTGACGATGATTTTGTAACAAATTCTCTCGCGACTAAAAAGAACTACAATTTCGATTCTAGTTGTTTGTTTTATCGAGAATAATACACTTGTTGAAATTATTTCTTCAGGATACCTAGCTGCATTCGATGCGAATGATTTGTTTTCACACTTGAGAGTAAATATATATGCTCACGGCATGTAATAGTTTCGTGTTATTTTAGTTGTTGCTATTGAATACATTGTTGACATGCTTTTAATGTTTATTCCAACTATGTCTTTTTTTATTATCTCTATCATGAATTCACTTGATCAAGATCTTATGCTTCTTGCATCGTAACATTTCAAATAAATCCTAAATTATTTTAGTCAAGTCAGAATTATTTTCGAATGTATTTTCTTAGAAAATGTCTATGTCATGTTATCAATTTTCCAAAAACATATCTATAGCCAAATATATTAGATAGTACTTGGTAAATTTGATATTTTTCATTTTGATTGATTTTCTAATTCTATTTGAAAGTATTCATTCAGAATAATTCTTATTCTTTGGTTTTCATTATTTTCTACTTTAAATGCTACAAGAGACGCAATTGATTTTTTCCTTCTCAAATTATTGAGTAAACTTTCGACCGAAGAAAGAAACTACTCATCCAAGTTTTCTTTTACGCAGTTTCTTTTCAATTATTTGATGCAATGGCTTCTTTAGTAAACAACATAATGAATATTGCCATATGTATCTATCCGTTATCCAAATTTATTTTCGAAAATAAAAATATTAATTTATTTTTATTTAACGATTGCGATAATCAATAAAAACCCAATTGATTCATAAACGGCAGCATTATAAGTTACTGTATGTCATGGATAAATTAAAATTATGTAACACTTTTTATTTGTTTTAATACAGCACAAGAATAAACAATGAGATTTTATATATGAAAATATTATTGCCTAATTGGTAAAAATGCCTTTTTTTCCTTTCTTATTTGATGTTTATGAGGATAATTGAAACTAGCGATGCCATAACAAACTTAACTTGGGTTAGTCTTAATTCGTCCCCTTTTTACTTGAACCGAACTGGTCCCCAAAAATTCGATTCCGAATTTGTCTTCATCATAGATTTTTTTGTTTAATTGACTCCGGATTCGTCTCCACTCTATTTAAGATTGAAATGTTCATTCTCCGCTCTGTCTATATACACAGCTAGTGGCAATGACAATCGGATTCATTTCTTTTGGCATAATCCGGCAGTCTATAAGAAAGATACATGCAATGGCTAAGTGCTTACGGCTGACTAATCGATAATTTTTATTTGTAAACATATTGAAATATGCTCAGTTTTACTCCAACGAAACGAACAGGAAAGGTGTTGAACTATAATGGTTGTCAATATACTCTCAAACGTGAACGGAAAACAGTAGTAGAATGGCGGTGTCGTTCACGAAATTGCACGAATACATTTTCTTTGTCTTGATATAATGCTGTGATTGTTCGACAATTTTTTAATTCTTTCCAATTGTTGCAAGAAATGTTTATAATCACTTGTTAATCTTACGATAAAAATTGTCTTTCACCTTTACCATAACTACATTAGAAATTCATATTTCTTGAAATCAAGCGTCAATTAATATAATTGGGGACCAATTTAGAGTGGGGACGAACTTACACAGGGGACGAATTCAGAATCAATTAACGGCGGACGTAATAGGGGACCAATCAGGGGTATGCCCTTAACTTTGATTTAGCTTTGTTTAAGACAAGAGAACTGCTTCCGAATCTCAGAGGAAAAACCATACAGAAATGAAGAAGACAATTTTTTTCCAAACAAAACACATAGTCGAGTCTTTTCGGAAAGGAAAGTGAAAAATTTTCTCTAACGGCAAAAGATTGTACGTATTCAGATATTCGAAAAAATCTTCAATTGCAGAAAACATTCTATTATTGCCAATAAAACTTTTCTGTATTTTTTCCGTAAGGAAACATGAATCATTCATTTTATAGTGGTTAATAACATCCTCCGAAGAGATAAGATACAACTGACAATACATATGAGCGAAAGAAATCCACCTATATGTGCACTCCCCAATCATCTTAATATTCGGCAAATACGAAAGTATCGAACTTTGACGAAATATTCATACACTAAAGCAATCATGAATAGCTCTAGCTCATGTTTATATTGAATAATCTATGATCAGCAATAAAGTTTAGCGGATTCACTGACAAAACCGTTATTCCATCATACGAACAACTGTAGCAATTTGTAACATTGATTAAACGCAGTTCAGAGTAAATAGAATTGTTATTTCAAAAATCGTAATTAAAGTCAACAAAGAAATGTTAAATTTTATAATTTATCCTTAATGCGTAGCAACAACAAAAATACTTCTGAAATACAAAGTTCAGGGAAAACAAAAAGGTATAGAGTTTGAATCAAGAAAAAAGGAAAATGAAATGTTCATTTTTTACCTGCAAAATCAAATTAGTTATATTTTTCAAAGCTCTTCAGAAAGATAAACGTTCTTTGTCTTACATAGATAAGTCATACTTGAAAATATTTAAAAGATCTCTGCGTAATCTTCAGTAGTGGTGCAGTTTCTATTTTTTAGCAACCATTGTGAAATTTCAAAAGATTCAAACCTAACAATAACATATTCGAATAAACGATGTTTTTCCTTTTTTTTTTTATAGAAGTCATAATTTGACTAATACATCAATTAATCGCACTATTTTTAAGTAAAATAAAGAGATTTTTTATAAAATGGTACTCGTTTTTTTGTATTAATTTTTGAAACAGAAACATATAGGTGATTTTCACTATTATGTTTCTTTTGGTTGTAACTATTTACTATTCGTCACAAACATCTTTTCAATATGAATGATAAATAGTTATTTGTCACTAAGACAAAAAATTAGAATATTGGATCAAACAAGCAGTGTATTTTATCGAATGTCTGATCGCATCAAGTGGTTTATGTACAGACTGGTGTGTCTTTCGTTTTGGATGCAAAATCAAATCAAATGAAGCCATTCTAACGAACCAGTTTGATGTGGTGCTGTTGGTTCTTTCTCGTGACTGGAGAAATTTGATGTACATTCGTCAACATTTCATAAATTATTGAAAATCCAGTCCCTGCATAAAGAATCGAATGTTATAAGTATCAACATTAAAGTCTAATGACGTTTTACATAGAAATCAAATTTCATTACCATGAAAAATTGCATCCTTGCTAGTGTCTACTAATTTTTCTTCTACGTGAATTATGCATTTTAAGAAAAATTAAGATGACGGATATATAAAACTTGAAAAAAAAGGTCTTTCTGCCTTTAATTTCTATATGATTGAGTTGAGCTGAGAAAAATAGTCAAAATACGTAAGCACTTCTCTTCTAAAAAGCGTCAGACTGATTTTAAGCAATAAGTAGCCTTGCTTTTAAACGCTTTTCTACCCTGTTCGAAACTTTGTTTTTCATATTGTATAATCGAAAAATATAGATGCCTCTATAATTTGAAGATTCTTATCACATAATGACTAGAAAAAAACAATTTTTTTGACCTTTCCGCAGCTGTATGAAAATGAAAGGAGAAAAATGTTTGCTCAAGTTTTGCATTTCGGACACCTTACGCTCGAAATCAGTAGAAGGCAACATTACAATTTTCATCTAGCAAACACGTGAACAAATAAGTTATGAAAGGTTGCAAATACTTCTACGTACTGTATAGATCTAAAAATAGATCACCTTTGAATCAATATGATACTGAATAAACAAATAAGTTGAATATGGGTTAAATTTATTTCTTAAAAAGAAGTTGTTTCAAGGCATACTTCATTTTTTGAAACGAAAATTTCACTGAGGGCAGAATTTTGGTGTCCAATATTTATTCAGATAAATATGAATAAGTAACTACTTTGGAAATAAATATATTCTTTTAAGAAAATTTTTATACAATGTAAGCAAAGAGAGAGAGAGAGATGAGAGTGTAGCTTTACGATGAATGTTGACAATATTCTGATCTATCAGCCATCAAAGACTTTTAAATATCAAAATGACCTTCAGTTTAATTTTACTACAATTTTCTTAAGCATTTTTTCTCTATTAGTAATTTCCGTCTCCGGTATGGTTCTTTACACCTTCTGTTAGTTAAAATATATTTACTAGTGTCCTATCGAAAAATTCGTTACTTTTTAGACCAACAACTCATTATCAATAGAAAGGCAATTATATAAACGAAACTTCCCATGTATGAAAGCATTCATTAACTAGTCAACAACATCATTTTATCTTTTTCTGTTTCAACAGCTTATTTGCGTACAATTCGTTTTTCTTTTTCACTTTAATCGTAAATAAAATGATTAAAATATGACCTAAAACACAAAAAGAAAAGTACCCGCGGATTCATCTCTAATAAGTACCCTGGAAAAACATCGAAAGTTCACATTTATGCGTACGGAAAGCACATGTTGCATAAGAACTGTCAACGAAATGAAAAACAAACTCATAATCATCGCATTTATTGAAAATTCGTTGTTGATTTTTTAAGGTTGCATTAATAAAAAAAATAATATTGATTCAACTTATTGGAAAAAAAAGTTCATATTGAATTGAAGGAAACATTTTAACAAAAAAATTAATTCTTTTATTTTAGATTAAATAAATAATGATAGAGCCAAAATACCAAAAACAAAAATAACTTCAACAATCATCAACAAGAAATGAAAATTTATTTTGACTTTTGTTTAGAAACTTAAGACTATATGTTACTTTGATAATTATAGTATGAAAAAACGAAAAGTGAATATGTTGCACAGAAAAACGTTCAGATGTAATTACAAAGTTCAAGCATTTTAAGTTTTTACAGTAAAAGTTTATTTGAAAATTGTATTGCGAAGGGTGGTGTGGCGTTAGTGCTACGTATAAAAACACTCAATATGTTTTAGCTGGAAGTACATTTATTCAATTATGTGTTTTTTGCATTTCAAATTCTATCTTTACTCTGCACTCAAAGGAAAAAACAAATGCTATTTTGCCATTGAATTTTTGTATTTTTGCCTTTCGTTTTCGTAAAATTAAACTAATCAAAACAAGAAAAAAGAAAAAAATAGCAAATGCAATACTTCTAATTGAAATGGTAGCAAAGAATTGTTCTCATGAAGGAAAAAAGTCAAATAGGGAGAGAGAGAGAAGAAAATAGAAGTTTGCAACATTCATATTGGATTGTATAAACAAGAGCAATTTTACATATATTGAGCTAGTTGTAAAATTCAACAGCAAAAACATTACTTTTGCGACGATACAAGAGAAACGTATTATTACAGCAGTCGTTCTGTTACTACTGATAGTAGAATTAGCAGGTAGGTTTTAAGTTATATCATTATCTATAATTAATTTCGAACCGAATAAATTATACACTATAGATTGTCAAACATGTTCATTCATGTGGGATCCGATTTTCGAACCGAACACACCCAATTCACCGGTCATGTGTTCTGGTATGTAAATTTAAGATTCAATGCCTTACGAGGGCACATTCCCAAGTGATTCACACTGCTTAGTCTCATTTTTTGCTCATAGGTAGGAACCAATGCGACCTATTGCTAGACAAAATTTCAGCTCAGAATTCCTTTATTCAATTTTTCTATAAATCCCTTGATCAAGGTCGAAAATTCAGTAAAACGGGTCATAACTTTGAAGGAAAGATCTCAGAGCAGGAAATCTTTTAGGCTTTTCCTAGTTTCATTGGTTCCTACCTATGAGTAAAATGTGAGACCAAACGATGCGAATCAATTGAGAATGTTCCCTCGTTATAGTATTCTATATAATTTTATTTTCATGAATAGCGAGCACAACAAGTGGTTCACCGTGCGTATTTCCATTCAGTTATAATGGGGTAGGTTACGAAAATCAATGCGCTTCTAATTGGATCAGTAGAAAATAAGAATTTCAAGTTTACTCACGAAATAAAATCTTTATTTTTATAAACCTCTCTTTGGCGTAAATTACACATATTTTAACTTGAATTATTTAGCTACGATAGATTGTCTAGAAATACTCTTCAATTTCATCTAGGAGAAATACTATATTATAAAGAGCGTTGTATATAGTTCAGTTCTTTCGCAAAGTAATTCGAAATATTGAAAAGACGAAAATAGATTTTTGTACGAAACAATCTATGTGGCTTAATAATGTAAAGCTTTAAAATTATAAATCTAGTTTTTGAAGAAATGCCACTCTTTCAACTTTTACGTAGAATATAGTACGGCCCCTCAAATAGTTATTCATTCTACTAAAAATTCATAAAAATCTCCCACATCCTTCACCTACCTCTTTCATATTGATTGATTGATTCAACTCAATTGATATAATTATTTCTTTATTTTAAGCCACTTACAAGACTTGTACTATCCTTGGTCCAAGTAACCCCGATTACCGACCACAATGCGCTATCTCAGTTCGTACAAATAATACTGCAACTGCATAGTCATTTTGTACTGGTAAGTTGAAAAATATAGAGATAATATAGGATATGGCTATATAATATAAATGTCGTATTTTTACTTTAGTACCTAATGATGTAGCCGTTTTCTATTCAACTGTTCGCAATGGTGGTTATTGCACACAAAATGGTGGTAGTACATAAGGTAGTACCATGATATGGATATACGGTAGCCGCTTTGCACAAAATGGTTTCAATTCAGTACCATCAGTAACGAATTCAAATATTGTCAAATTAGTTGATGGCTATTCGGTCTACGATTGTGAAATGCATAATGATAAAACGACCAATACACAATTAACTTGTTATGCGCCAGCTTTACCTGAAAGTGTTTATCAAATCCGTGTTTACGTCAATGGTTATTTGATTCCTCTCTATCAATATTATGATGCAAGCCGTGCATTATTTCAGTGGCGGATCTACCAGTTAGGCTCTCCGGCGCTCGCGGGGGCGGGGGGNNCCCCAGCAGAAATGAAACAGAAAATATTCGTTCTGCTTCAACTAGACTTGAAAAACCGTTTTTTGGCCAGGAGCGCCACCCCATAACAGATTTTCTGGAGCCACCACTGCATTATTTACACCGATGCCTAGTCAGACACCAAGTATTACTATTAAAAATTTCATTACGAGTTGAAATCCGTGATGATCCACCAATGAACTTGTCGGCTAGTAACAATGAGCCGAATCAATTGATTGCAAGCACATTAATGCTAATATAATTAATCGTTATCAATCAGGTCAACTACAAGATGATTGGGCAAATAATTCACTTTGCAATGGTACAAGACCATCAAGTGCAAGTGTTCAAGAACCAGGAAATCAAACAACAGTAACATTAGGTGTCATAAGTACACTGGTATTAGTAATTCCTTCAGCAAAGTGCCGTTCACAAAGTAGATGTGATACTCAACCAGTACTCAAGTCTTATGATGTATCGGGTAATGTTATACAAAAATTAGATTCCGATGATCAACCATGACAAGTTGTTGGTACTATTTTGGGATCAGTAAATAGGTTGGCCGTCCAAAGGTCGAAAGGAAAAACGTCGAAAAATCGATGGGGAAAAATGTCGAAAGGAAAAACATCGAAAAATCGATGGAGAAAAATGTCGAAAAAAATATATATGGTTGTGGAAAATGATCGAAAAGAGTGTTTTCGAATTCTGACTTGAGAGAAGTATGTTTCATTGTGTACGTTAATACTAACATATGATAATCGAAATATATTCATTTACTATTAGCAATTGTTTTCCTTTTTGTGAATTAATAAATGAAATCGTTGGTGACTTTGATTGAGTTTCATCTTCTGAAGATGCGACAGCTGTAGCCATATAATGGTAGAATTTTAGTTATTTATTTACTCTTATGTAGGGGTTGTTTATTTAATTTATATGAAGTATGTTAATCATCACTGTTACAAGAGGTGCAAAATCTAGACTAGTAGAATTATGGGAAAAGAAAACATGAATTATTCGCGTTTGGAATCATCATTTACTGTAGACATCGCTATTTCGTTTATTTCGAATTTTGACATTTTTTTGTGGTAAAATGTATTGTTCGACGTTTTTATATTTTTATATTTTTTTCGCCATTTTTCCCCGTTCTAAAATTTTTTTTCGACATTATTCCCTTTCGATATTTTTCCTTTCGACCATTTTCTTTTCGAAATTTTTCCCTTTCGACATTTTTCCTTTCGACATTTTTCCTTTCGACCTTTCTATGGCACACCAGTAAATACAAGTGATTCTGGTGCTATTGCTAATTACTCATGCGGACAAGCACAATATTCAATGTTTGGTACCACAACAACTGGTTGATATCAAATTCAGTTTTCTTTTATCACGCCAAGTGGCGTTAGCACGCAAACAACATATATGACCACAATCGTTGTCGGATGGCATGCAAAGTCTATGAGGATTATGAATTCATATAAAATTTACAAATATAGTAATGATAGAATTTCTATCATAGAAACGTAGAGAAAATATTTTTTTTACGAAATTAATAATTATCAATATACATATTTGCTAGAAAACATATTTTCACAAAACTAACTTTTATTCAATATTTTTTTTAATTTCAAAAACTTCATTTGACAACCTTTTCCATTTAAGAGAGGCTGTGCAACAATGTTTTTTATATAAAATCACCAGCGGCACTATCAGATCAGAGTTCCACGTTTAATATCAGCTTACTTTATTTTATTAAATATACTCTCGTTGGTTTTTCTTAATATAACTATCAATGTAACTGAAATGAGAACTTTCAATAATGACTATATCAATTGAAAAAAGGACCTAGACTTATTCATGAAACTATTTAATAGTGATCATTTGAAGTCGCCAAAAGAATACATAAAAAGATAAAGAACTTTGATAGAAAAGTTCAGCTAAGAAAAATCTAATATTTATTTTCCCAAAATCTAATCGTCATATTAGCAACCTTAAATAAGTTTCATTAATATGATTCAATCTTTCAATTTGAAAACCATCAGAACTTAGTATGCACCCAGTTCGAACATTCCAGTCACCGGATCCCGTAGTATACTCCAGAAAATATGCAGGAAAGTCATCATATCCTGCAGGAAAACGCTGGAACATGGAAGCAGTGTTCCGGCGCTTTCCACCACGAATTGATCGGAAGTCACCGGAAAAATCCGAAAATTTTCCAATCGGAATACTACTTTCACAAAATCAACGGAACTAAGCGGAACCGGTCGTTTTTAGGCCGGACTGTTCGATCTGGGTAAAAGCTACAAATACCAAATAATATACAAATAGAATAGAACAGAAACTTGATAGATGTTTCCTGTCACATTATTGTCAAACGTAACCAAATCTACGTCTGATACTCTTACAAAGCTCTCTCACGAACATACAAGCAGTGTAAAATATCAATATGCAAAAGTGCTTTTATTTAAATGAACGGAGAGGAAATGTATAGATTAGATGTGACATAACATATAAGTGAATAGTAGTGGCGTAACCAGCAAATTTTCGTAGAGGGGGCTCAGCCCCCTAGCCCTTGGAAAGTAGAAGAAGGCAATTTTAATTCAACTGCAACAATGCACGAAGCCAATATCTGAAAACGTTTCTTTTTATTAGCTATAATTCAATTAAACACGTATGTTATGAAAAATATCGCCTTTTCTGTGTTACACTAATTATTGTATTGTATGTCTATTTAATACAATTTTGAATTTGAACATGTTTAGATTTAAACAGCAAACGCTAATGCTCTCTCTCTTCCTTTATTCTTTTAGAGAGAAGCAAAATAAACAACACTTCATCTTTTAGATGGCAACAATCTAGGTTGTTGAAATTTCAGATAGAAAATTTCGTAGAGGGGGCTGAGCCCCATCTGGCCACCCCCTGATTACGCCACTAGTGAATAGATCAAGTTAAATTGGTGCAGAAATTTTGTTTTGTTAGAGTCCCTGCAAGCGATAAATCCTTGCATTATTTTGCCTTTATCTAAATTTAAGAAAATAATATATGATAAATATTCAGATGAAAAATATTCATGACGCACATTAACCCAGAAATAAATGTCGTTAAAATTATTATATAAAGAATATGACATCGTTAGTTGCATGTCAAGGCGACTTTTAACAAAAGCGCGTTCAAACGCGTTTCATATAGCACTCCGTTAGAACGCGTTCAGTTGAACTTTATTAACTGCGTATAAACGCAATTTCAATAAGAAACGCGATGAGGCGCGGTTAATATTGTTTTCAAATTACATTTAACGCGTTGTATTCAAAAATTGCATTTAGATGCGTTTCAAACATTTTCTAATTACGTCTCAACGAGTTTCATACTGAAAGCGCGTTCGACCGCGTCATAAAACCGTTTTCCGCATTTCAACGAGTCACTTTTGCGTTTCATGTTTACATGGGTATTAATTATTTCTATTTGATGATAAATTTTTGATAAAAAAATATACGTTTCCTGAGAGGAAATAGAATGTTCTACTCGCAATTATCGAAAAAACTTAAAATATTGAACAGAATAAAACAGTCATTAGAGTGAAATTTTTTCATGATATCGATAGCTTATTGAAATTTAAATAATGCAAATACTCCTGAGCTAAAAGCGATATGATTAATACATGAAAATCTCTTATCATCAATAAAACAATTAGAAAAGATATATATCTATTGGTAGATCTTAATTAAAAGGTTCAGTTATCTATTTTGAAAGATGAGCTTTAGTCAATACTTCATATCGAACAATTTATAATACAAAGATTAATTATTACTTTTTATTGTTCATCAAAATTTGTTTGACCTTTGTTGAATTTAATTGATATTCAAAACAAAATACTTGCAACTATAATGATATTTTTATTTTTTTAAGCAATGACTTTCTGCTAAACAGCCAAATGATTATTGCTTTTGATGTTCGGATCGATTGGCTCGCCTCGAAATCGTTCGCCGAAAGCAATACAAAAATCTATTGAAATATCCTCGATTGCTTGGTTGTGATGATGGATTCGATTGTTGTGAACTACAAAACTTTGGCTTTTTTCTTGCCATAGATGGAAATAAATGGTTACAACTATTTTGCTTTTTAGTTTTTAGAACTGATGTTAAATCGTTACTAATAGTGGACATGTATTTTGTATTACTACGTGATGTATTACTCATTTCATTTTCTCTGCCATCATTGTCTTGTCGTTCAACTCCATCAAACAGAGAAATATTATCTACACGAATCGAATGTAATTTTAAAAAAATGTATCAAATTATTTTATTTTATCAATTTACCTCCTTGTATCATTTCATGTGGACGCTCTATCGAAGGAGAAGTTTGATAGTTGGAATAATTATCAACGTCGGTATTAAGCATTGTTTTATTGATTGGAAATTGTTGATTGGAAATAGGACTTATGACTTTTATTTTAAGATTTGTACTACGACTACGTTGTTTTGATTTCATCGGTAAAAGTGATGTTAGATGTTGTTCTCGATTTTTATGTAGTATAATCGGGCTATTTTTAACATTTTTAGCGGATGTCACGGATATTGAAGAATCGATCGAGTCAATCTATTGAAAAATAATTATATACATTTTAAGAAATCTATGCTATTGGATTCAGCAGATCAAGCAGAATAAATATAAATCAGTATCTTATACTAATAGAATATTTCATTAAATATGATAAGTATTGTTCCCGTATTGACGTATTGTGTTTAAAAATTTTAAAGTTTACTTACATGTTTTCTATATGATATCGGAGTTTGGCTCATATATTTTCTTAGACTGCGCTGATCATCATTTCTTTTAATAGTATTTAATATACTATTGTTGCCTATAACATCATTCATCGATAGACCGTTATTTGATTGTCGAGTATGTATTGATTTGTTGGATAACGGTGGTAAATTTTGAATATTTTCACGTGACATTCTTCTCGATGGACTTCGATATCCATGACTTTCAAATGATAGCGGTAGAGAAGGTGTATGCTGTGATTCATGAAGATCTGGTAGTGATGCTAAAGCTAATTCTTCTGCATGAGGAGATATCCCACGATGTGTCATGTATTCACGAGTGTTCGATGTTACTAGTTGATCTATCAACAGAGATTTTTGTATAATATTAGAGATCATTATTGATAAAATATAGTTACTGTGTATAGAATCAAGTCTGGTCGAGTTATAAATATTTGAACCATCGCTCAAAAAGGGTGATGATCGTTGTGAATTATCAATAGATTGTTGTCGCGATATAGTACGGCTGCGATCAAGTCTATGTGGAGTGTTTTTATTTTGAAATATTCGAGATTTTGTTGATATGTTATCACTTTTCTCGTTGAAATCTGTATTGAATGCCATAGATAATAATATAATGTTTTTTTTTTATTCAAATACATTCGCAAATAAATTAAATTACCTTGCTTTCTAGTAGCTGTAAGATTTACTCCAGGTGAACTAGCTGATATTTGCTGTTCTATTGTCATTTGATTATTAGGAGAGTTCTTCATTCTCTGTCGATTATTATCTAATTTTACTTGAGCATTTAAAAAATTACTTGGTTGGTATTGCTCTTGTGATAGTCTATGAAGTGTTCGTTTTTTTCTATTGAACCATTTACTTTCATCAATATCATTACTAAAATTTTGACGAATATTTTCATCTTTTATTTCATGCATCACTCCTAAACTATTATCTTCTTCGATTGAACTTTTCATCGGTTCGAAAATTGACCATGGTATACACATGTTAGACACATTACATGTTAAGAAGTTTTCATTTAAATATATCGAATTGTTAACAGCGTCCGAAGAATTCATACAAGGATATATGTTCGATAGTGGTGTTGATAAACTCTGAAAACATTTTAAAGTAATATTTTGAAATGAAATTTTCGATGTTAAAACTTTGCTAACCTACATAACTATTGTTACTCATACTTGCATAGTATGCGTAAGATTTGATGATTTTCTCTAAACGATCTGAGAATTGTTTTAACATAACTGTCTGTGAATGTTCCATAATAGTTTTATTTTGTTGTTGTTGTTGTTCTTGATTTAGATTATGAATGAAAGACACAAGGTCATGAAGAATTGGAGAGATATCTGAAAAATTCAATAGAAAGGAATTGGTTGTATGTCCTTGACGATTATTCATCTGCAGGAGTAGTGTTAAACGAAGTTGACCAATAAACGCAATAGCACCGGTTATGTTTTTCAATGGAAATTCTGTGTGATATTCTTTACATTGAATAAATGATGAAAAGAAAAATAAGAATTCATCAAGAACATCAATTAATGTTTTAAAAATATCTTCTATTGATTGTTGCTGTAAACGATGGATATCATTACATGTCGAATTATTATTTAGTTGATTAGTAGTAGATATACAATACTCATTTCTTTCCAAGGGTATATTTTCAAATAAAGTTTTTGAATATAATCTACGTTCATTAGAAGAATCTAAGAGTTGAGAGAAACCAGACGTCATTGACGATTCTTGAAGGAAATATTTCAATGAATTTTGATTCATTGCTTGTTAAATATAATCCAGATTTACGGTATGATATTTAATATTATTGACGTATTGTTTCAAATTTCTGACTATCGTTTGAACAAAATTGAAATGTTGACGTTAACTTAGCATTTAAGTTTCAAATGAGTCTATTGGAAAAAGAAAAAAAATAGAAAAATTATTTTTCTTGCTATGCATTAGCAAATTGAAAAGAAATGAAATCGATAGTGAAACTATGGTTATGAGAAATTTCCAATGCTGTTTTTATTTAAGTATTTATTGACATATGGAAAAAAATAATATAAAATTGTTCATCTGGCTGTTTTTTTTAGTATTTTATTCAACCTAAAATAAGTTTTCTGGTGTATACTGAATGACTAGCAATTTCTTAATTTATTCACAACTAAGCCATATTTCACTCGGGAATATTTTTCATTCCGTGAATTGCTGAATAATGAATAAAATATGAGAAAAAGAAAAGAGACTAAAATTAGAAGTATTCATATGTGAATATTACACATTCTACAAGAGAATTTCTTTAATTGATACAATTTTTATTGATTGATAACATCTAAGTTCTAAAGAATGTAATTAGCAATAATGAATCGTTATAACAACTTGATTTGTGCACCAATTTATCATATATGTCTAACTTGAAACTTGAATTTAATTGAAATTTTCAATTTTCAACTTTTAAACCAATAACATTCTGAAGAATAGTGACTCACACATATATCGCCATAAGTTAAAAGTTGAAATTTTCAACTGAATTCAAGTTTCAATTTTGACACTACTGAAATTTATTTCAGTATGAATGATTAATGAATTGCTTATTTTATTGATTCGCATTAATTGTCCTGAGAATTGCAAGAAAGAAAATTTTCTTTCATTAATATTGTAGGTTTTTATGTCTCATTATGACTTTTGTAGTAATTCAAACATGAAATCATTTACTGAGATTAGTCTTAAATATGGTATTACAAATTATAGGAAGTTCAGCCATTGAGCAACTTCGTGCATGCGTGCAGAGAAGCCCCGAAAGATTCGCCTGCTCAATTATTTCTCGTCAATCAGAAAATACACATTTATCAACTTGTTAGATAGTGTATCGTCTTTGCAACAAAAACATGACTCAGTAAAATACGTTCACGGAAGCAGGACTTCACTGAATCGGCTTAATTTTGAGGTTTGGTACACTTCCGACATTCCTCTCTTAATCAGAATAGCCCTGTGTAGAACAAAACCGAAATGAATACATTCATAAAAACATAAGAAACTATCTGGTTCACAAAGAATCGACTCTATAATGGAATAAATTTATTCTAAACTAAGATCAGTGCTTTCTGGGTTTAAACGTATACACTCTTTGAACCCTTTATACTGCTATGGAGGGCTTTGTATTTAATTCATAGTCTTTCGTTGTTGAAGTAGCGTACTATTCGAATAGATTTATTCGCTAATTGAATCAATCTTTCGTTTCTATTTCAGAACAATTAGAATATGTCTCTATTTTCATGAGATTGTTCTTTTTGTTTTTCTCTGAAGGAGCAACCAAGATAAACTCATTCACATTGACAGAATGAGGCCAGGCGATCGAGTATTATTTTTACTAAGAAAAAAAAACGATGTTCACCGTAATTGTTATTTGTCCATCGGTTCAAATATAATTTTGTGTGTGTGTGAATTAAAATCGATTCTCATCATACCTAATTGTCTTTTACAAACTTCGACTTTCGAGCACGATCTCATAGCGTGCGATATTCACAGATTGTTAGCTTTAAACTGTGCACTGACAGAAACAATGCAAGTTAATCATAAGTTATATTTCTATATTGAGACTAACAAAGTCAATACAATACATACAATTATCATTCACAATAATTGGAAAATGAAACAAAGGGTACAACTTCAAGCAATTCTGCACTATACAGTGTCAATTCATTTTCTTTTTTATTATTATTTATATTCTTCTCTCTATGGCAAGTCTTTTGGGAGCAACTTTTCTTTTGTTCGCTCAAGTTATTGAAATAATTTTATCACTTACTACTAAAACGCTTATACCTCAAGAGCACATCTAACGAAAAATTGTGATGGAAGCAAACTAAAGAATATCTTAAGAGATACTAGACTTTGGTATGTAAAAAAAAGATAGAATTCCAGAATTAATTAAATAAATCGAGTTATACTATTAGTAATCTAGTTCTAAATTGCTTTCCAATGCTATGTACAACACTTATAGTATAATGCAAATAATCTCAGAGTCATTCTGAATATTATCGGATCTCGTCTTTGTAAGTGAAATGAAAAATATGCGAACTATTACATTTTTTCGAACCTTAATTTTATTCGTATTGACGTCAATTGATAGAAACGCTCGACTTAATATTCAGTGTTTCTTTTGAGAATCATGGGTGTCATTCAGGAAAATGTCGAATTTTTTTATGTAGTGAATTGATCATATAGCTAGCCAATCGGATTTATTTAGTAGTAATGCAACAGCTAAAAACTATTCTTAAGATCGTCTGTAAGAATAAACATCATTTTTAAAGTGTAAACTATTTATTTGATTATTTTTAAGAATATGGTATACAATTTATGATAATAGTAAATGTTACGGTTTCATGATTTACTTAAAACATATTAAAATTGACGAGATTTAGAAAAACTTCAAAATGTGGTGAAAATTGACAGTCGAACATAGAATATCATACAAGGTGAGTTTTCTATTTCTGCTGAATTGAGTGCAAAATAGTCTATGATGAAAATTACAAACACCTCTTATTTATTTTAAATATAGACATACATGACTTTCATGTGCATTGCTTTTATATGTAATAGTTTACCTTACAACATTATGGTTATATCGGAAAATATAGAGTACCATCAGTTTTGTAATTATCTATGTACCGCAGGTCTTCGTTGAGTTTCTTTCGTCTACTTAGCGCAGGAATCTCGCTTTTATAGGTGCGCATGCAATATAATTATTTATTAGAAATAAAAGCAAAAAGAAATGTCACGTTCTGCAATTTTTTCTTTCTAATAAATGAAAGGAAAGATATGACGATAAGAAAATTCTTAATTTTACGTTATTAAATATGAGAAGTTTCTTACGCATATTTGTGAGACAAAGTGGGTGTTTCACTAACAGAGGCATACTTTTTGCACGCTTTTATTTAGCTATAGTTCACCAAAGATAAAACTACAGAAGCATTCTTTATATTTTATATGCGACAAGCTTTACTTGGTTGAAGATTACCCTTGGAACTATTATTCATTTTTAACATCCATATTATTATGTCGTTATAAGAGTGAGCTTTTTTTTATAAGATTTTGATTTTTTTTAACAAAAAGATGTAAAATTTGAAAGTGTTTTCACATAAAATTCACAAAGAGAATCTAGTCGCTTGTTTCTTTCTATCTCTGATTTTCATGAACTTTCTCCCGAAGATACTAAATAAAGTCCTAGTAAAACAAAATTTATGAATATTCGCATTTTGTTTCCATACTACACAACATACGATATTGAAAACTACCAGCTACATTTCTGAAGTTATTGTTCTGATATTGTTTTCTAAATATACTATATTGACAGAAAGCTCAACCGGTTAGCTCTTTTACTGATTAATTTATAGAATGTCATTTTCTAATAATAGATCATGCAGTACATTAGTTCACGTAGAAAGGTCCATTCTCATTATCACTTATTATGTAGATTTCTACTGATGATGTTTACATGATCACAAGGTAGGTAAGCTAGTAATATAAATCCATAATTAACTTGTATATGGCAGGAAATAGATTCGAAAAAGAAAAATAACAATTAACTCAATTATTATACATTTTATATCACAGGTTTCATGAAAGACTTTCAATTATGATAATATGTGTGCTGATATTTTTTTATGATCAGATGTGAATACTCTGTCGAACGAGAAAAACAAGAGAGAAGAAAGGAATCATGTAAATCAGAATGAGTAATAGCTTAAATTAAATATAATTACTGAAATGAGAAAAAAAAACATCTTCTATAGGAACGGCCGACGAATATAGTTTAGAGACATAGTTAGTAAAGGCTAAAACTAATCACGTTACATATTGCAGAAAATATGTAATCCAAAAAAAAACAAACATGAACAACATCAGTTAAAAAAAGGAATAGAAAAGATCAAGTATAAAATGACTACTAATTATTCATGAAGTAGATCACTCGCACGGAAAATAGTCCTCTAGCTTTAAGTTTCCATTCTGGTTGAATGATTCGGTTTTCTAAATATTTCATGTTATCCACTACGAGGACACAATGAAAGTATTTATAAATTGTCAAAGAAAAAATAGAAGCGGAATATCTTTTTTAAGAATTTTTATTGAGCTAATGTATAACGTTGGTAGGCACAGCAAAATCCTCGAAATCAATAGAAAACACTTAATGAATTTTTCTCATTAGTTACACTTAAAAATTTCTCAGATTTTCCAGTGCATTGAGTGACAAAAAAGGACTCGCGTCTAATGCTTATTTTTCTTTGAACACTATTCTGTGTTTGCGTCATTTGATCCTCGAGTTTATCAAGGGTTATGTATAAGGTGTGAAATTTAAATGGATTATTTTAGTTCATTTTTACAGTAATCTTTTAACAAAAAACGGATAAAAATGTATTCAATTCGTCGAATAATAATCATCACTGCTGGCTATTCTTTGCCAGCTTAGTGGTTAATAACATTAGTCCTACAGGTTATGATGCTCTCACAGCATACACTACTTTATGAAAGAAAAATTCCAACGAACGGCTGGATACATTATTAAAAAAGCAAGCATGTGCTTTCTTGCAAAACAAACTACAAATTAGAACTCACTATTTAATTCTTTTCGTGTTTAATTTACCGTAAATTTTGCGCATGTTTAATTTCATCTTTTATATTGGAAAAAAATTAATAAGATAAAGTCTCTTTCATGTTTTAAGCACGGAGCTAAAAATGTA